TCCCAAGATTTTCTGTGGACTCCTGTGTCGAAAAATGGGGAGAGAAGCTAAGAGAAAACACATTAGGAGGATGGTGGAACAAAGGGTAGGTGTAGGTATTCTTCCCACAGCCCAGAACATAGCATTTACCATAGGTGTTTCTGCAATTGCCGCTGTCTGGAGTGTGTAGCTGCATCCTTAAATATTTCAGCTGAACTTCATATAGTCAAAAGTCTTAAAATATTCATTAGTAATGAGCTTATTGCAAACACAATTGGTTTCACACTTTGGCAAATGCACTGAAGACCTTACTTTAACACAAAAGGTTATCTTTTGCTCAGAATAGAAACCTCCAGATGTAATAGCAAAACGAACCATTTCAGCCCAAACAATTCGATGTAACAGAGTACTTGTGCACATACAGAACCTCACTCCATTATGCAGTCTTTAGCCATGTGATCAGGAAAGGCTCTTGCAAACCAGTGTACTTTATGAATGCAGTGTGGAAAAATTCCCTTTCAGTAAACTCATTTCTGATAGAGATAGGAGGAACCCCGAATTCCTCTCTAACCCACCTGTAGTAGCAAAGTCATGAATTTTTTATTGTGCTTATGCTAAGGTAGGAAAGCATCTTCATTATCAGTTGATCAGTACTGGCATCAAGCTTTCCTTTTTGTGCTGCTCTGAGGCAGACACTCTTAGATAAATGCAGGGAGGTTTGTTCCTCTGCTAACACAGACAACACTATTTAGCATACTAAATTTCATAAATATCTGTATGAGTATATTCAGCATGAAGGTGATCATTAGTAAAATGATTTTTTCCATGCATCTGATGACAGAGTTTGCATTACCTCCTCTGTCAGAAAGCAAATGAAATAAACAATCTGAAAATAAAACATTATTAGGAATTGCAGTAAATATTTTGAGAGCGAGTAGCAATAGACTTGCACTGTAATCTTTTTAAAAAATACATTCTTTCTTACAACACTCTGCCTACCTCAGCAGGCAATTAGTGAGAGGCTAGTATGGAGTTCAAACAAATTTTAGGATGAGCACTGTCTTTTCAAGGTGAAGGAAAGGATTTTTTCTTTTTGGAAAGGCATATATGCATATAGAATCAGCATGGTGTCACATATATAATTTCATTCTCTGCAGTCTAATGTCATCCTTATGGCATCCTTAATGCATCTCCTTGTCAATCAGCTCCCCTTACATTTTTTTTCACCCCGGTGAGAAAAAGAATCCATAATGAGTGAATTGCTGTGCTGGATTCCTAATGAAAGGCATATCCCCTAAAAAACCTACTGGCTTGCAACGGGTATAAACTAGTAAAATCCTGTAAAACAAGGTAACACTCGAGTTGGTGATATACTGCTAGAAATGTGCAGTTGTTAGTATAAGTAAGACAGCTACTCAAAAAGGTCCATTTAGTCTGAACAGACACCTTTTATATTGAGTTCTGATTCCTCCTCCTGTCCACAATGACAAACATTGAAGCTAAAGCAGATCCCATAGAAAAAAAAAAAAAAAAGGAGGTATGGGGACAACTGGGCAAATTACTAGTGCTATTAGTGTTAAAACAGCTGCTTTCGAGGTCTGGGATCCCTCCCGCACACGTGACCAAAGAAGAAATACACAGGATTTTGATGTGGATTTAGGTTTTGGGTTGTTTTCAGCACTTTTCTGTTGAAAGACCTGGATTCTGGTAGGACCTTAATAGAAATTTGAGGTGGTTTTATTGATATGCTATACTTCAACATGGAATGAGGTGCAATTCTGACATTTCCACAGGAGGAAAAGGTAGTGAAATAGACTGAAGGGGAAACAGACTTTCTCCATAACATTTCGCCTCAGGTACTTTTAAGCAAATTTATTTTGAGTAATAATGCCCAGGGACAGTAACTTACAAAGTGAGTGTTTTTCCCTCTAAATTAGAAAAAGAAACTGGGAGCAGGTCACCAGATGTATTTTCACTTTTCAGAGAAGTGTGAATTTATAACTCTGCTGTGCAAAGGTGCGTGAAACAAGGAATTGCAAGTCACGTTTTCCTTGCTGTACTTTTCCAAAATGTCCTTTCAGATGTGTCACAGGCAGTATTTTTCATTCATAGGACACCTTGCACTGCCTGGGTGACAACCACAAATCACAACTGCTTCAGAACCCAGATAGAGTCATTAAAAAAAACCTATTATCTGCAAAATGTTTTTGGTTGGTATTGACACTGAATGTTTTTCCTTTTGTAGATAATTAATATATTTCTATTCAGGTGCTTGAAGTAGTAAGGTATGCTAGAAATATGAGTAAAAAATATGATTTTGTTGATAACGGCTAAAAGTTACTCTAATTACAGACTGCCTTTTAGTTCTTCATATTATCAGCTGATCTATTACTTAATAATAAATTGCAAATAACCTGTCACAATTGCAACTTAATAACTGATTAGCCACTCTTACATACTAGGACCAGGCCCATAGCTGGTATTAGGAGGGCTTCTGAACAGATTTGGGCTTTTTGTAAGGAGCACAAAATGTAGTGGTAGATGCTCTCCTGGATTCTCAGTTTTCCACGTCAGTTCAGTGTTTTCAAGACCAACACTCAAGCTTTATCCACAGCTAACTAAGAGTCGGGTTATGCACAGTGAATTTAAGGTATTCGGGTGGATGTTATTTTTTGCTGTCTGTCACCTACATAAGTGAAGGAGAGGAGTGGTTTTACAGGGGAGCCAACCACCACGCCTGCGTACATCCTACCACCCTGTACAGTCCACTTATGAATTAACACTCCAAATCCTTGAGTCCTAGCACAATAAATGTAGAAAACCAAAACATCTGTGTTGCCATGGTTATTCTGTGTACAACTCTAAGTTTGGAATAGCTGAAAAATCACAACATCATGTATTATGCCTGAGCATAAAGGAGACAGTTCTCTTTTCTCAAGGACTTTTCACATAACCCAGAGTAAAGGTACCTCGATGATAATCAGATCCAGGACAAGTAGTCCTTGAAATCTGGCCCAGACTTGGGTTAAACAACCTTTGCCCATGAAGCTGTTGCTATAATGCAAACTCAAACTCGGTGATGGTCTAATCCAGATGATACAATGGTACTGTGAAAACACACTATCACACTTCTAGATTTTTAGGGTATTGCTAAAACAATCAGCAATGACTCAACACTTACAAAATACATGCATTTCTAGCATCAGTGTTTAAATGCAACTGGTGATGCTCTAAAATGATCACATTCTTCCATCAGCTCAGTATATTGCTATTGAAAATCTAAATATACCACTCTGGAATCCATTATACATGCCGTTGCAAAATTCCATCAATTTAGCAGGGAAAATGAATTGCAATCATGTATATTAAGCATTCTAAACCTATCTAGAACTTGACACTAACTACCAAAACAAAGACCAACAATAATAATGAGGGTGCCTGTCCCAGACCATACTCTGGTTTAATCATGGATTAAAGGATTGAAGATTTGCCAATTGCAAACACATAGAAAGAAGTCAATCTGGAAAACCCCATTTATGATGCCTGCTTGGAAAAACAACATTGTTATTTATCAACAAAATTATATAACTTCTATGTTAAGTAATTATTATATTTTATTATATAAACAATAAATATCAATATTAGACATATTAATTTATGTTTTAATTTATATTTACTGATATATTAACTTCTTATATGTATAAAAAATATTCCATAACTTAAAAACCCACATACAAATACTACTTGAAGGTCTTTAAGATACCTTAGCTTTCTTTCCACTAATAGTTGGGATGTATTCATTCTAGAACAAGATCTAGAAGAAGCCAAGACAACATGACTAACTTGAGAAGGCATAGGTCTTCATTTAAGGATATCTCAACTATAGATCTGCGTTTGCCACAGAGTTTCCAGCTTTTTAGCTTTAGAACAGAGAGAGTAGTATGTAATGCCTTTTAGCAGAACTTCAAGATTAGCTGCAGAAGGGTACTTGGTAAGAGCTAAGCATTATTATTATGGTTACTTTTTAATATTATCTGAACAGTTTTTTAACTGTCAGCCACTGTTAAAATTGCAAAATGCAAAAAGACAATCTCCATCACACACCAGTCTGTTGTGAAGTACCACAGAACAGTACTTCCCTTGTGTTTTTTAACCAGATGTGAAGCAACAGGATGCAGTCAGTTAAAATGTTCTTGTGTAAAAATATATGTAAAGGTTGTCTGTCAACACCATTGCTTTCAAAACAATTATACTCAAATATAGTGGTGTGTTCTGACAGAAATGCATTAAGCCTTCAGGAGGGCAAAACTCACCTTGCACAGACTCCTCACAGAGACTCAGTCCTGCAGTAAGACATCTTTTACCACAGACACCACACACAACAACCATCACCACTGATGAGGCTTTGATACTGGCGCGGTTAATCTTTTTTTAGTAAAGTAGATAGTTTCCTTTGCTTAGCACTGTACAGGTATAATGATGGCACCAGGCACCGAGATCCAGATACTGAGCTAAAATCTTGGCAGAAAGCAGGACTGAGACATGGTGCTGGGCTGGAGGATGAGCTTTATTTTACACTTTGGTGTCTCTAACCACATCCAAACCCACAGTTAGTCATTTACAACCTAGATCATATTTTGCTCTTGTCCTACTCTGTTTTCTCAAAACAGTCTTTCAAATCGTCCCCTCGATTCTGGGGAATAGTTTTTCCAAACAGGTATCTTTGTAACTTGTGGGGCTCACATCTGTGTATGCTTTATCATTTTAGCTGGAAGTAGAATGTGACTGTTCAGAAATGGGAGGCTTTGAAGATCTCTTATGGCTAAGAAGTACCTGCAAGTTAAGGGGTCTGGTGATGCAACTAAAAATCTTCTCAAGGATGTGTACTCATGGGCAGCCCTGCCCTCACACTGTTGAGCCTCAAGGTTAATGTTTTGTTACAGGCTCAAAGAAGGAAGTAAGGCAATGACTCTTTCAAATATCAGTTCTTTTGCTTTTTGTTCTTAGAGCTTACATAAAATGAAGATCTAAGTAAACAACACTTGAAGAGTGGAGAGAAACTCTAATCTATAAGTATACACAGAGTGAACAAAAGTCTTGGTTTGCAAAGCTTTTAGAAGAATGTTTGCGACTTAAGGGAAAAAAATATTCAATTGTCTATTTGCTTTATTTTGAACACATTTTAAAGCTTTTCTGCACAACTGTTTTCTCTTTGTGTTTTGTAATTTCCTAGTACAGAAAAACATTGCTTCATTTTTTTTTCATATTGCTACCCTGTAGTTCTACACTGCCTTCTAAAATTTTGTTTTCTTCATGCAGTGCATTTTGTTTTCACCCATCTTTTTGTGTGTGTTTGACATCACCCAGTCTCTGTAAAGACCAGAAGGGTTTGTCATCTCTGTTAAGATACAGCTAGGAAGGTAAATGATGATTTTTAGGAAGACTTCATAGTTTCTATTTTTTTATGTAAAAATAGTGAAAATCTCCAACAAAAGATTACTAATCCAACATGTTTTTCCATCCTCTTTGCTCTTCAATAGACTGAATTTAAACTACAAAGTATCAGTATAATGTTAACACAGCCTGCAAGACATCAGTCAATGAGGGACAGAATGAGTTAGAGGAATCACTAGAAGTTGTTCGCAAAAAGACAACGTCTAAATGTAAACGTGCACTTGATATTTCATATCTTTTGTATTTTTAGTGTTTTCCACTAAGCAGATTCAATACTTCAAACTTCAGGTGTGTGTCATTATTTTGAAATGAAAGGAATTCTGCAATTATTCTAGTGGCATAGCCTGTATGGAATACAGGATGAATAACACGGCATGGAATTAGAGCAAGTTGAAATGCAATTATAATGCCCTCAACAGAAAGCATCTCTGAGACTAAATGAGGATATCTGTGAAACAAATGCAGATTTCAAACAGACTTTCGTTAAAAAATATTTGTATTTTGCATTTTCTTCAGCCTAGTTTAGTTCAGTGCAGAAATGTCAGTTCTGAGAAACATTCATGTTTCAAATTTATTAAGTCTGTCAAAAATAGAAATCTTTCATTTGAATTGAACTTTTTCCCCCTCCAAATTCAAATGAAACTTCTCAGCTGGGTGCATGCAGGCTTCAAACGCTTCTTCTGCAGAACCCAATTGTCAGAACACATGAAAATCTGTGTGAAGCCTGCCAGTCTCTCAGCAGACGTGTATGGGGGGATAAATTTTGCAAACACTTGTTATACAGATTAGAGCTTTGGCAGAGATTGTAAGTGTCATCTTTTCTGACAAATGGGGGTTTTTTTTCAGCAAGTTGATATAATGTTGATGTAATGTAATGGTGACTCATGGATCGGGTTAGGAAAATGACATGCAATGAATGGAGCAAACCAGTGACAGGGTGATCTGGATTGCTAAGTCAGATGCAAACAAGCAACATGCATTTTACCATTGCAAAGTCATTCATCTAAGAACCAAATAAGAACATAATGGCAGTGCAGTGATGAGCCACAGGTATGACTGAAATCAAGAGATGACAAATATCTTCTGTCCCTTATCTCTATTTATCTCCAGGTATCTATAGGGGAAGTAAAAATTTGACAAAAGGTTTTTAAATCTGAAGAGAGAACCAGAAGCACACAAAATGCCTGGAAGCTGAAGTTGTACAAATTCTGTCAGAAAGACGGTTAATCTTTTTTTCTCTTTATTTCTTTCTTTCTTTCTGTTTTTTTTTAATAGTAGTATAAATAACATTAAGATAAGAGAAACAAATTCCTGAACGTTGGAATGAATATTTTTTACTTGGAAGATTTTGACAGAGATCAAATTGTTTTCATAAATCACAGAGTCACACAATGGTTTGGGATGAAAGAGACCTTAAAGATCATTTAGTTCCAACTGTTCTGCTATGGGAAGGGACACCTTTCACCAGACCAGGTTGTTCAAAGTCCCATGCAGCCTGTCCTTGAACACTGCCGGGGATTGAGCATTATGACTTGTTCTGGCCTGAAGAAAGCAGTCTAGGTTAGTCTTGCAGACTGTGCTGCCCAGACAGTTACAAGAAATGAGTGTGGTGACCTTATCCACACCAACAACTGTCAAATCTTGAATGCACAAGAATCTTTATTCTGACCATATTTTTGAAAGAATCCAGTCTCTGGCCTCTTGGTAACCTACCTCCTGTGTCAGACTAAAACAGAGATATTTTTGCAATTGTCCTCAAGCCTTTAGCACCAGCAAGTGCTATGACACTCAGATTGAAGTGGTGCCCACCATTACCACATGGCTGTTCAAGGCACAAGTCCAGCAGAATTTTAGCCAAGTGATGAGACTCAACACAGAGGAAAAGCAAACCTTGCTCCAAGACCTGAATGATATCACCGAACTGGCAGTTGCTAGAGGGGGTAGGTAGGCACAGAAACAAGAACAGCTCCTTGAGAAGAAACTCTTTGGCTTTGGATGTGCAAGCCCTTTCCATGCTCCTTTTCTTCTTACAGATGTCAGTAGCTAAAATTAGCGTGCATGAGGGGAATCAGCCTGGCTGAGACAAAGCTGCAAAGTACCCTCCTGAAGGAGCTCCTTGGTGCTTCAGACATTGTTTGGGGCAGTGGTGTGTGGGGAGAAGGTAAGAAGGAATGAGACTGAACTGTAACTCTTTGACCAGGGTACAACTCCTCTATAAAATGTAAGATAATGATCAGATTACTTAAAAAAGTCGTTTTAAGCAAGCTGGATTCAGTACTGAGGCAAGTACTGAAGTACTGTTACAGCCAGCAAGAACTTACACCAGCTGACACTGACAAAGGGTTAAGCAACATGGGAAGAGACCAGTTCTTAACTTGATGACACTCTCGTTGGTCTCTTCTGTTGTTCCTCCTCTGCTGGAGATATTTTGCAGCTTTTGGAGACTTCTATAGCTCATGTTTGTAATGAGGTTCAGTATATAGCCTTATGTCATATGACCAATCAGTCTTGTAAGACCCACATTAATTCTCATTCCATGTGCCTCTTGCTGAATTCTGGCAAAAGGACTTGTTAGTTATATTTCAGGTCAGTAGGTTATAGCTTTGTGAATGTCATTACAATAGGAAACCTCATTTCACCAGAAAGCAGCATTTCCTCTGTGAAACATACCGTGTCATGCTATACTCTCTGTTCATCACACAATGATATTTCAGTGGGATGCCAGCAGTCTTGAGGAGCTGATAATCTTTTATCATAGCTGCCAGTAGCCTTTTTTTTTGAAGATTAATTAAAATTACATTTCCTGCACAATGTTACAGTGTGGGGATTTAACAATGACCACAAAATTCTGCAGAAACCTTCATTTCAGTGTTTCAGTTTCTTATTTGCAGAGAGAAATAGGTCCCTTGCTGTTCCCTTAATCAGAACATCTGATGAAGATATCAGTTATCTGACTTCTGCTTATCTGTTCTTACTGCCTTCAGTTCAGGTTTTACCGTCGGGCTCCGAAGAGTGACCATTAGGGGTTCTTCCTCTCCAAGTGCAGCCTGCTTCTGGGACTGCTCACACTAACCCACATTTCCAGCATATTGCCTTTAGGGCTGTGGCGCTTTTAAAACTTGTTAACTTTTAATATGCATTTTAACTCATAACAGTGTGATAATGTCACTTTTTAGAGACATCTTTTCAAATTAAAGCCTAACAACTTGGAGAAACAGATGAAGAGCTATTGCTAATCCCTTCTGACTTGCATGTTTGTGAGGCTGAAATGCAATGTCTCAGAAATGATAACAGAACTGGAAGGAACTTGCACCATTTCTGATGCAAGAGCTGCAGTGTGCCAATCTACCTTGACTTTGAGAAAAAGTTCTTTCCTTGCAACCCATTATACTTCTCCTAATGCACTGGAATTAATTGTCCATGTAACTCTGAAATCAGGATCAAACAGAAAATGTCAGTAATGCCAACAAGCAGCATATCAATTTGAGATATGACTGTTATATTTAAATTGGTTATAACAAAGTATCTGGAGTCTTAGATGCATTGGGATAGCTAGAGAATAACCAACTTTTCAAAGTCTGAACAGATCTTGATTACTGTAAGGGTGAGTGCTTAGGAATATTGCCAAGAAACAACAAAAAAATCTGAGGTGCATGACAGATATTCATTTCCCACTATGAGAAAAACCAGTTTATGAAACTGTATAGGCATCTTGTCTTTTCCATAAAAACAGAGGACTGCTAAAAACTTTTGTCCTCTTCCAAATTTGGCAGTATGTGCTACCTTAAAAAAAAAAAAAAAGAAAGTAAGCTGAAACACCACTCTTACAGAGAGATTGAGGAACTACTTTCTGAAGCTAAAACATTGAAGTATTAAATGAAATATCACAAAAACTCAGTTGGGAGAAGACCCCCTCTTGTGTTGTGGGATTCACTGGTGAAATGGATGACATACCAGAGTCAGTTTTAAATTATAGTTCAGGTATCAGTAGCACTATAACTGGGATAGTACAGAGCCCAGCACTGTTCAGTTTTCCCTGCTTCTTTTCTATGACTGTAGTGTGGACATCCTCTGGACATCTACATACATGCAAATATGCTTCAGGATAACACCCTACCTGAACTTTTCACCCCCCCCATATGATCCTGTAGTACTTAAAAATCCTACGAGAAGCTGCATTTAGAATTATAAGAGTGATATGTAATCTCTCTTTGAAAGAGTAATATATTAAAAACATGTAGCATACTTATTAAATTTGCTATTAACTTGTATCTAGTTTCTGCTCAGGCCAGGCAGGCTGATTTATACTTACCCGGGGTGTCCTTTCCCAATGTTTTCCAGCAGCCCATTTCATAACACTGGGTAACTACATGTAAGATGTGGAATGGCCCTGAGCACCAGGACAGCACTGCCCACGCTACTTGGTCTGGCAGGATCTGAGCAGGATCTTCATGGAGTCTGGGTATCCATGGTGTTTAATCCCTTGCTCAGATAAACTGTTCACAAAGAAGGAGTGTGTGCAAAGCTTAGCTCTTGTTAACAAACAAAATTTGTAGCTTTGATTGAGCAACATATGGTTGTTATCTGGCTCTGTGAAGGACAGATTTGTGTTGCAAATAAACAAACTGATGAATGAGTAGCAGAATTCAAACAAGATCTCTGATCTTCACTGTAAAAGCATGCAGATGCTCAGAATAGAGGAGAACTAACAACAGCACTAACCTACCACAGTCATGTAATTTCTCTAAGGATCTTTTCTTCCCACATATTATTGACTCATGGTTGTTTTTAAGGGTATGGGTAGCAACGTCTTGAGGACTGAGCAGCTTCTCTGCCCAACCTTCTCTTCCATTTTCCTCTAGGCTGAAGGATGTTTGGACAAAACTACTGGTTACAGCTACTGTACTGTTACAGTGCTGGTGCCATCTGTGAGATTTCACGATTATTCCTTGGGCAAGAGCCAGGTGGAAAGTGCTACTAGCTTTTTAGATAGGCCCTCTCATTCCTACTTTGTCTTAGTCTTTCTGTATTCTTTCATTTCCAGAATATGTACAAGGAAGATTTCAGGAACATGACTGAAGAGACTGGGAACAGCAGTGACTCCTCCTCAGCCTTCATTCACACCAGCACCATGAGTACCATACTGATTACTGTTTACTCAGTTGCCTTTGTTGGAGGTGGAATTGGGTCCATCACAATGTCGTTTGTGCTTGTCAATATGAACACACTGTCTGTGACCACTACTGCCATCATTAACCTGGTTGTTGTGCATAGCCTCCTCCTCTTCACGATGCCCTTCCGCATCCACTATTATGTCAACAAGAAGTGGGTATTCAAGATGCCATTTTGCAAAATGGTGAGTGCAATGGTGCACATCCACATGTACCTGACCTTCCTATTTTATGTGATCACGCTGGTGATCCGGTGGCTGATCTTCTTTCAATGGAAGGACAAAGTAGAGTTTTATAGGAAGCTGCACGCAGTTGTGGCAAGTGCTGCCGTGTGGGTCGTTGTCATCATCTTTGTGGTGCCTGTTTTTCACTTCCGGTATGGACGCTCAGGCTCATACAATGATACAACATGCTTCAAGTTCCACAAAGAACTACAACGGGAGAGCGTGAAAGCCCTAAACTACATCCTAATTGTAGCTGTTGCCTGCATTTCTTGTGTCCTCTTGGGCCTGCAGATTTTCATCCTGGTAAAAGTGGCAAGAAAACTTTCCACCTCTTTCTGGTCACACCAAGAGTTCTGGGCCCAGGTGAAAAACTTGATTTTCATCTGGGTCATCATAATTTGCTTCCTTCCCTATCACCTCTTTAGGGCCTACTACGTACAACATATTAGGGATTTTGGCCAGTTAGAAAGCTACAATGAGGTTTTTTTGAGCCTGACTGCCCTGAGCTGTCTGGACCTGCTGTCATTTGTGCTGAGTGGAAGCCGCTTATTCAAGCAAAAGGTAGGGATGCTCAGCAGCAGGTTGCGTTGCTGCTAGTGTCAGCCTCCTGCGGCATGTGTGGACTTGGACCTGGGAAAGGATGGTGATGGACAGGCATGACAAACAGTAAGTCAGAGTGGGCCCTGGAAACAGTGCAACACACTCACAGAGGGCTCTGCACACCGGCTCCCTGAAGTAATGTGCCAAACTACCTCCGGTGTCTCAGTGGCACTGGAAGGTGACCTCAGGGATTTCCTCATGGTGCTACACAGTGAGTTGTGAATGGATCTGGAGAAGAGTGAAGAAAGATCCTGAGCTCTTCTGTCTTTTTTTTTTTATTTCTAAGTTAAGCTTTGTGAAGTCAAAGGCACTAGGAAAAGATCTGAGAATTTGCATTGCAGAAACACAAATAGAAAAGCAGCTTTTTACAGACTAATGTACAGATTTTTGAAACTTAAAGACCTATAAAATTTTACTACTCATCTCATATGTATTCTCCATAAGCTCTCATAAAATATCAGGAAACTATAGTTCCTCCTGAGCAGGTCTGTTCCTTCGCTGTAAAGACAAACAGAACTTTCTAAGTGAATTAACAATTAAACAAACTATTTAAAACCAAACCAGCAATAAAAAGTTATTTCTTAAAATACTTTTTTCAAAATCATCTTTTGGAGATGGTATCTCTGTAGCAGAAAAGAGTTTTGTTGTCTAACAAAAATTACATATTGCTACTGAAACGAACAGTGCAAGTTCAAACAAAAGCCTTATTATTATGTATTATTCTTTACAGAATTATTCAATTAAAAAAAATATTTTACAGTGAACGTCATTTTATTTAGATCATTCAGACACAGTTGTCTTGTTTTAAAATGTCAAATATTTTAGGTATCCAAGGTAACAATGCTTTTTTTAAAATCTTATGTTGATTTTGTGCAATTCTGAAGTTTATAACTAATTACTTACTCACAGTATCTTTAGCTTGAAATCAACTCTATAAATTTTGTACTCTACTGGGAGAAGGAATGAAAATGTTATTGCTTGGATTGGAGGAATGGAAAAAGCTAATAGAACTAGTGTAGCTAAAAAGCTTATTATATGTCAGTGAGGCATAGTCAGCTGCTGTCTCTGAAGACAGAATTGAATTCTACTAGAAAAGACGAAAAATTCAGCAAAATAATTCTGTGAAAGACATTCAGGCTTTCATAGCTCAGCTGCTTTCCACCTATCCCAAAAAAAGAATATAAATCTCTGACTTGTATAATCCAAGGCATCAATTGCTAATATATCTTTCTTTTTCTTGCATAAGTCCGCATTTTTTCATCTAGAGTCAGTGGGATATTAACTTAATCATTTGTTGAATTAGAGGTTATCAGCTGATAAATTTCCAGTGACAGTGTCTCCTTATGATGCTGTTGAAGTCCACCTTTTCATACTTGTGAATTTTTCCATTCCTTTCTGCTTCACCTTCAACATCTCTTGCACACGAGACAGCAATCAAACAACAATTGGTTGATCTTGCTGTACCCGTGCGATATCACAGCTATGCTCATTGGTTTTGGTCCCACCAAGATGGTTACTTTATAGTATCCCATCTCTTCTATAGTCTTTCTTCCCTGTCTTCCTTCTCCTTTATATCTCTCAGGATGTTTGATCATAAAAAGGTATTTTCAGGTCAGAGTATGAGTCATGCTATACAACATCAAAAGCTGGAAATCACTGAAGTTCATACCACAGCTGAGATGTCGGGCTTCTCGCATGGCTCACCCTCAGCAAACAGCCTGGATCACAACATCTGCTAAGAAAGAAATTGCAGTGTGTGTGGATCTGGGAAAAATCTATCTGAGACAGCATTTGCTCCCAAAGGATCATGGCAAAGAGGAAGTCAACTACCAGCCAGATTCAACAGTAGTCTGGGAACTACAAGGGACTTTCACAACATGGAAGGAGACAAGTTCAATGTGTAGTTCACTACTAGTTAATGGTGTGTCATTAAGAAAGCAATAAACTGCTCATATCTAGATATATTTTAAAGCTACACAAACACATCATTTTCTCCTTGAGGCGGGAGAGGATGGAACATGGCACAACATTTTTGTTTCTTCCTATAGCAACATGATTGGTTAAAGAAAATGCCTTGCATGTGTTCTGTAAGCACTGCATAGCTTTGTAACAATATATTATAACCCTTCTATCATAATAAAGTTGTTAACAAACAAAATGACTATGTGCTGAAAAAATAAAGCAAGTCTTTCCTGCAAAAATACATGTAAATTGAAAATATTTTGTATCTGAATTTCAAAAGACTTTCAAAAATTGAAATATATATTTACAAACAGTACCTCCTGACCATACAGCCCAACTAATCTTGTTTATCTATGTGGTAAAATCAAAAGTTGCTTAAATTCTTATAAAAATGCACACATTATCAATGGTCTGCACCATAACATCACAAAGAATACTAGTGCCTTTTTTTCCCCAAATAAAAATTGATGCTAATGATGTTAATACTAACTCAGCATGATAATGAGCAGATTAGTGGTTGTAATTTCATGATTTAAGTGGTGATATTATCCAGCACCAAGTCATGCTTTTTATGGGACTGTCTATTCAAACTTTACATCTGCCACTTGCCTTGCTTTATGACAGTAAGTGTCTGGCAGAGAAAGCCTGCGTCCACCCTGAGAGACTGAAATCTCTGTTAACTCTGGCAGGAATTGACCTGCCAAATGGTGACAAAGGTGATGCTTCCAGCAAGAGTGCTGACAGGACTTGAAAGGAGAACAAGTTGCTGCTCCCTCCAGCCTCCCCCTGCTTTGACTTTCACCAGTTTCTTGATCTCTCCCACCCTCCCAGGCATCATCCTTGAATACTTTCCCTGGGATGTCTGAAGAGAGGTGGAGGTGCCGCCATGCAATGCCACAGAGGAGAAGAGTCTGAATAACTCCTGAAAATGAAAGTGTAGTCAAAGCCAGAGCAGCACCCAAAACATAGCCAAATGGCTCTTGTGACCAGGGATGGCAGAGGCAGCAATGGGAAACTGTTGAGATGTGGGAGACAATCTATAAAGGAAGGGGAATTTCCATTGCCATCACCTACTTGGTCAGAGGCACCTCAGCCTTGAAGGAGACCCTGATTTTTCTGACTGGGTCACGGAGAATAGTTCTGGGCTGGAAAACAACCACGTTATAACACAAAACCTGTATTACAGAAGGACATAGAGGGGATAGAACCTGAAGAATGTGACAGGGGATGAGGATAGTAGAGCAGAATATGAGCATGTTTATGCCACACAGCAGCAAGGTTATATGGACTGCACCTCCGGCCTTCATCTTACACTGCTTATTGCATCCTTAGACTTGCCAAAAGTGTCAGTCTCAGTGATAGGAGCAAACTTGCCCTCAGACACTCCTTATTCGCACCCTTGCATCACTGTTTCCGTAGGGCTGGTATTTGTCTGATGAATGTCTTTCAGCTGCATCAGTTCCCTCTCTAGCTCACCAGGGAGTAATGGAAAACCAATTCAAGGCAAGGTTAAATACAGCAAGACCTCTTTTTGCAGCAATGCTGATTTGAGGCATTTATCAGATCTTTTCTTTCCACACAGTTTTCCACAGGTCATGTGGAAATGTCATGTGACATTTCCATTTCCATGTATTACCAAGAATCAGGGTGCCTTAGACTAAGGGTACTGGCTGAGGAAGAAAGGACTTCCACAGCTACAGGCCAAGAAATGGATTTCTGAGGTTTCAGGCACTTGATGCTTTCTTCAGGGATGCAGAGATGGGCATGACAACCCCTGAAGGCAGCAGAGGCAGCAATTCCTGAACAGAATTGTAGGATTGGACATTTGTGACCCATAAAGTCATTCATTTCTGTGGTTTTCATAGAAATGGGACTTTGTGTGCATTTTCCCTATAAGTAAACCCTACGGCTAGGACTTGATTGCAAGCAAGGGCTGGTTTCAAAAGTCAAGGGGTCATTAATAAAACACCATCTGGACTTCCTAGAGAGAAATTTCAGAAAATCAAACTAAACTTTCTGGTGCTCAGTGAGGTAATTTTCCCCACTTGCAAACAGCTGCCTACTAAACCAGATTTTTGCTGGATAGAGAAAAAACAATAAAGGTAATATACAGTGTCCATTCCCTGAAGGCTAGCTATAAGTAATGTGTACCTCTTTTTTCTGGTGAGGCAGCAGACAGGTCAGCTGGCTGCTTTCACCCCTAACCAGTAACTTCCCTCACTCCCAGAAATGCTTCCAGTTTGGGACTGTCTCGCTGGTTTTGCTTGTCAGCCCTGGTAGCTGTACCCTCAATGAATTGTGTGCCACCCATGTACAACTGGGGCTCAGAATCATAGAATCGCAGAATGAGTAAGTTTGAAAGGGATCACGGTCATCCTAGAGCACATTGTACAAGATTGTGTCCAGAAGGTTCTTGAATATCTCCAGTGACAGAGACTCCACAACCTCTCTGGGCAATCTGTTGCAGTGTTCGGTCATCCACACAATAAAGTTCTTGCTCATATTCAGATGAAACTTCCTGTGCATCAGTTTCTTCCTGATACCTCTTGTCTATTGCTTGGCACCACCAAAAAGAGCCTGGCTCCATCCTCTTGACACTCTGCCTTCAGATACTTAGAAATGGTGATAAGGGCCCCACTCAGCTGTCTCTTCTTGGGATTGAACAGGCTCAATTCTCTCAGCCTTTCTCATAAGAGAGATGCTGAGATGCTCCAGCAGAGGAGTAGAGATGCTCATCTTCGTAGCCACTTGCTGGAGGGCTCCTCCACTCCAGGAGCTCCATGTCTCTCTTGTACTGAGGAGCCCAGAACTGGACACAGCACTCCAGATGTGGCCTCACTAGGGCTGAGTAGAGGGGCAAGATCACCTCTCTCGACCTGCTGGCAACGCTCTTCCTAATGCACCCCAGGATACCACTGGCCTTCTTGGCCACAGGGACACACTGCTGGCTCACGGACAGCTTGTTGTCCACCAGGACACCCAGCTCCTTCTCCACAGAGCTGTTTTGTGTCAGGTCAGCCCTCAGCCTGTGCTGGTGCATGGGGTTGTTTTTCCCCAGGTACAGGACCCTGCATTTGACTTTGTTGAACTTCAGACAAGTAGGCCCACCGGACTCAGATCTTGCTAATGGAAATGGTGCCAGAACTATTGCTGGGAAGGGTAACAGACAACCAACTGGGAACTCAGTTATCAAATCCACAGGGAAACCCATCCATAGCTGGGTCATGGTCAGGAAAGGACACATGCCCAATGTCAACAGTAGAAGCAAGACACATCTTAGCCCAGAAACTTAATAGCATCCTCAAATGCTTCATCTGAACCTGTGGGAAGCAAAACTGATTTGTGCTCGACAGTGGATGCATGCTAAGGGAAGGAGACTAATGGAAAAGAGCTCACAGGCTCTCCTCTGTTTTAGAGGTCTGCAGCACAGAGAAACACAGCAACCTGCCAATGACTGAGAGGGGAGGCATACACTAGTGGAGTGATGGTACCATAATCTCTAACAAAGACGTGTAGAAATTGCCCATAGGGCTTTGTCTTCCCAGTG